TGTCTTTTCCTGTGGCTGTGTGACTTGTGTCACAGCAGGGGTGAGCGTGATTTGTGGAGGTGTGTGCATCCCTGGGTGCAGGTGACTCAGTCCGGGTGCCCAGGCAAAGCCATGTATGTTGTGTCCGAGAGCACGGGTGTGACTTCCGTGCGGGAGCCAGCGTGAGCATGCATGTGACTGTCCAAGTTCTGGAGCTGTGTCGGGTCTGGACTTCCCAGGTTGGGTGCCGTGTGGCGTGTGGCATGTCTGAGAGCCAGCCCAGCACAGCCCACCTCTCTGAGGGCCAGAAGACCAGAGGTCCGAGGGACCCAGGGCGGAAGGACTGAGCAGGTGCCACCCGGGAGGACCCCAGGGGCCCGGCTGCTGGGGGGAGAACCACTGTGCGAAAGGTCACAAAAATGCCCCCAAATCTGCCTCAGAGACTGGCTGTGTGAGCTTGTGCGTCTGCGTGAAGGGGTCTGCTGTGTGTTTGAGCCTGTGGGCATGTGCCTGAGCCTGGGGTCAGGCGTGAACAGTGCTTTGCGTGTGTGCATGTGCCTGTGCATGTGTGGCATCATTTGGGGGAGCAAGATGTCACAGGCTGCACGAGGAGTGCCAGTTCATGAGCGCTGAGTGACCGATACTGCGTGTGACCAGCCCTAAGGCCGCTGGGGCTGTGTGTGGTTGCGTGACTGTGCGTGAGGTGTGTGCTCCTTGCGTGAGATGTGCCCTACGAGGTGGGGGGCTGTGTCTCTTGTGACGACATGTGAATGTGGGCATGTGCCTGGTGCCTGTGTGTGTGTTCTCTGTGCCCCGGTGGGGAGGACAGTGTGCAGCCTTCAGAGGCACAGGGAGGTAGGTGTGTGTGTGCACACGTGTGTGCATGCTCTCCAGGCGCAGATGCACCCTGACCCAGGGTCAGGACAGAGCATGTGGTTCGTGTGGGCAGAGGAAGGAGTGGGAGTGACCTCAGGGGTGGGGCAAGTCCTGGCTGGGGGGTCCCCGTCACCCTCCTGAACCTGTCCTCCTGGGTCCCCTCAGTGCCTGTGATGGGACAGTCCCTGTGCCAGTGTCTGTGTGCTTGTGGACGTGAACGTAATCTGGAGGACAGGTGTGCGCGTGAGCACACACAGGTGTGGTGTGTGCTGTGGGAAGTGGGCCCCGTGGTGGGTGTCTCGAGAGGGAGTGTGCGGGGGTCCGCTGCGTGTGTGCACTGTGTGTGCGCACAGATGTACCCTGCGTGGTGTGGGTCCTGGGGGGGGGGGGGGTGTTCCCTGGGCGGGTGCAGGCAGCCTGTCAGGGCGTGTGTGTGCCTGTTGGTGTGTGTGTGTCGGGGCCGTGGAGGGAGCAGGGTCTCGGGCCGCATCTCTCTCCTCTTTAGACAGAGCCCCGGAGAAGATATGAAATTTAAAAAAAAAATCAATTTTCATTCCACTTGTGCAGATTGTGTTAAGGGGAGCTGGGGGGGCTGGGTGAGGGATGAAGGCGCTGGGTGGGGGGGTGAGGCCCGAGGCAGCTCCCGAGGCGGCCGGAGCAGCTTAGAGAAAATCAAAACAACTGGTTAAACCCCAGCCCGGGGGGCCCCAGGGATGAGAGGTGAAGAGAAGATGCAGAGAGACACAGAGGGACAGAGGGGGACAGAGACGCCCAGGGACAGAGACAAGAGATGGAGACCCCCGGAAACACGGATATTTGGGGAGAGAGACAGACAGACAGAGGCAGAGACACGGACACCCAGCGGGGCCTGAGAGAGGCCAGAAGACCTGTCTCTGAAGAGACGGCACTAGAAGCGTGCCTGAGACAGTGGCACACGTTACACACATGTACGCACACACAGACACATGCTCAGGGAGGGCGGATGGGTGGATGGACAGGCAGACAGCTGGCAGGTGACAGGTGGGCTTCCCTGGGAGTGTCCAGCCCGGTCCCCACATAGCCCCACACTCAGATGGCCTGTGGGTCTGAGTGTGCCACTGATCAGACTGGTCCGTGTGCACGTGTGAGTGTGTGTCTCTGTCCCCATGCATGACGCAGCACATGCGCACGCAGGGACTCCAGTGCGCCTCTGGGTAACTCGCTGCTTTTGTGTCACTTGTGTGTGCCTGGCTGCCGGCGTGCCCTCTGCCTCGTGTGGTGTTGTGGTTGTGTGTCTGCATTGACTGTAAACCTCGGTGTGTGACTGTGTCTGTTAGAGGGTGTCTGTGCTTTGTGTTTGTGTGTCTTTGTTTATGTGTGGGACTGAATGAACACTTGTCTTGTATGTGTATCTGTGTACAATTGTATGTTTTTGTTTGTGCAAATGTCTGATCGTGACGTGTGTGTACAGCCATGATGTGTGTGACTGTTTTGACACACGTGTCCGTGTTGCCTTTGACATGGCAGTATTTGTGCCTGAGTTGCTCTGTGGGTCTATGTGATGTGTGTTGGTTGTAATTTCTTTGTGCATAAGATTTTGTTGACCCATGCATCACACATCTGTGTATTGTATTGTGTGTGACAGTGTGGTGTGTGTCAGTTTGCTGACACGTGTCTGTGAGGTATATTGTGTATGATGGTGTGGTGTGTGTCACTTTGCTGACATGGGTGTGTGAGGTGTGTTGTGTGTTGGTGTGGTGTGTGTCACTTTGCTGACACAGGTCTGTGAGGTGTGCTGTGTGTGAAGGTGTGGTGTGTGTCAGTTTGCTGACACATGTCCATGAGGTGTTGTGTGTTGGTGTATTGTGTGTCAGTTTGCTCTCATGTCTCTGTGAGGCGTGCTGTGTGTGAAGGTGTGGTGTGTGTCAGTTTGCTCTCACGTGTCTGTGAGGGGCAGTGTGTTTCACCTTGGTGACACAGGTCTGTGAGGTGTGTTGTGTGTGAGGTGTGTTGTGTGTGAGGTGTGTTGTGTGTGAGGTGTGGTGTGTGTGCCCGGGTTGCTGTGTGGGTCTGTGTGTCTGCTTGGCAGGGAGAGCAGGGAGGCAGCCCGGGCCTGCCCAGCCCCTCTCCACACTGCCGCGTGCACACGCACACGCACACACACATTCAGTGCCATGGCTGCAGGCGGTGGAGATGGGGGGCAAGGGGGGATGGAGGAAGCAAAATAAAATTAAAAATTAAAGCTCGCCCGGAGTCCCCATCCGCACAGCGCAGGCCGGTGGGGAGCTGCAGGGGGTACAGCAGCTTCCCCTCCACAGCCACCCTGGCTGGGGCTGTCTGTCCGTCCGTGCTGCTGTCCTACCAGACCCCTGACTGCCCTGCAGCCCTGGCCCCCGCGGGCCCCACTGCCTCCTGCGGTCGATCAGTGATCAATGGGGCCAGGGGGGCGCCAGGGGCAGGGCGAGATCAAAGGGGCCCCGAGAGATGGGCACTGGGGTGGAAAGAGAGACACGGAGACAGCCAGAGACGGGACGGGGAGACAGGGGGACCAGAGACACAGAGCAGAGCCATGTGGGGACACAGGGACTGGGGGGAACGTGACGCAGGGACAGACACACGGGGACCCAGAGGCTCGGGAAAGGAGCCGGGGCTTCGAACCAGGACAGTCAGGGCGAGAACGCAGGGAAGGGGAGGAAAGCGAGAGGGGGCCGCGGGGACCCAGTCCCGGTGGGGTGGGCCTGCCAGGACCGAGGCGGGAGCCAGAGACGGGAGAAGTGGCAGGCAGAGACCGGGAGATGGCAGAGACGCGTGCGAGAGAGACGGCGGGGGAGCGTGGGAGCAGGGCCTGGAGCGCCGATCCCACGGCTCCTCGTTATAACGTGTCCGGAGGAGGCGGCGGGGAGTTGAAAGCGTCGGGAAGAGAAATCAAAACCAACACGGAAATGAGAGGGGCCAATGGGGGGGGGGGGGGGGGGGGAGGGGGAAGGAGGGAGGGGACCCAGAGAGGCATACAGCGCCGGGGAGGCGGGAGAGGTGGACGGGGAGAGGTGCGGAGTCGGGGTGAAGGGGAGACATGGGGAGTCAGACCCAGAGAGAAGGAGGGAAGGAGACCGATGGTGGAGTGCGAGGGAGCCAGAGAGACGGGGATGGAAGAACTGGGGAGACGGGGAGTGAGAGACAGAGGGACGGGGGACAGACGTGGAGAAGAGAGGGGGCGCAAGTGGAGGACAGGGAAATAGGAAAAGGGACTGAGTGGTCGAGGGAGAGAGAGGCAGAGGCAGATGGGGAGGGGCAGAAGGTCACAGCGATGGGGACAGAGACACCCCAGGTGGCAGGGGGGAGACGAGGAAAGAGAAGAGAGACAGAAAAATGGGAGAGATGGTGGGAGGAGACAGAGATCAAGAGGGGGAGATGGGGAGGGAGACCCCAGAGAAAGTTGGGCGGCCGGGGCTGCGAACAGAGGCAGGCCCTGTGGGGGCGGACGAGGCGGGGCCCCCAGAGGGGCTTGAGCTGGAAGTGACTGTGTGCGGGGTGTCAGCAGACCACCGTGGGGGTTGGGGCCAGGGGGGCTGTGGGGGGTGGGAGACGTCGGGGCTCCTTTGGCGTCCCGGGGGTGAGGTGGGTGGGGCTTACGGGGGAGCAGAGTGTCTGGGATTCTGAAGGGTGTGGGGGCCTTTGGGGAGCAGTGGCGGGTCTGAGCGGGATTGTGCATTTAAGAGTCTCTGGGCTGGCGCACCTGAGGGGAGGGGCCCTGGGGTGGTGGGGTAGCCGAGGGAGAGGGCTGTCGGGACGGGGGAAGGTTCAGAGAGAGGGGCAAGGAGGGGGGGTGGGCGTCTTAGAGGGAGGAGCACCCGAGGGAGTCGGGGTCTGCGAGGAGGCACGTGGAGGGCCACGGAGTGTCTGAGGGGGAGGCGGGTCTGAGGGGAGAGAGGTGTTTGGGGAAGGGACGCGGGTCGAGTGGCCGGGCGCGCGGGCGGGTGGAGGGACGGGTGTCAGTGGGAGGCCCGTGCGGGCGCTGGGGGCCGCTCTGCTGAGAGGTGGGCGGAGGGCAGGGCTGGGCCCGTCCCCTCCCAGCCCGCTGGGCGGGCACCCGATTTGGCCAGCTCCAGATGCCGGCGCGGGGCTTCTTCGTGGGGCTGGACGAAGCAGCTGGGGGTCAGCCGGGGGACCCCGAGGGGGCCGAGGTTCTGAGTGAGATAAAGCTGAGGCAGCCACAGACAGAGACAGAGGGCGACCAGAGACGCACAGAAGGAGAGGTCGGGCACCAGAAGGGGACGGAGAGACTGCAGACAGCGGCAGGGACGGTGCAGGGCGGGCCAGCGAGTGTGAGTGAGGAGAGAGGGGCGGCGAGGGGCGAGCTGGGAGCGCCCTGGTGCTTAGTGACCGAGGCACAGAGTAAGGGGAGGCGCGGCTGGGGGGAGGACCGTTGGCACGGGGAGAGGGGCCGGCACTAGGGTGCCAAGGCGGAAGGCGGTGGGGAAGGGGTGGCCGGCGTCCAGCCGGGCAGGGTCTTGGTGCTGACCCCTGTCTGTCTCTCCCACCTGTTCCCTCCTGTCCCTGCGTGTCTGTCCTGGCCTCTCTGCAGGGCCGGCTCCACCATGGACTGTAGCTGCGTCTCCGACCTTCTCTTCACCCCGCCTGCCCTGCCGGCTCTCTGGACCCCCGGTAACTGGCCTGGGCCCTTCCACCCCCAGCCCTTGGGCCTTCCCAGCAGCCCCTCCTTTTCTGATCTCTGACTCTCCTTCCTCTACCTTCCGGGTCTCTGTCAGGGTCCCCTGAACCCAATTCCTTAACGGAAAACTTGGCTAAAAACTTCCCAGCCTGACGTCCCTGCCACCTGCCCGCTGGGATGTGGGGGTCTTTCGGAGGGTGGGCGAGGAACTGAGGTTGGAGAGGAACAAGGATTTAGGCTCCTGAGGTCCTGGGTGCCTGCTCTGCACACCTCAGCCTGCTGTCACCAGCCCTGCGGGCGGAGAGGAGCAGGGGGTCTGGAGACCAGCAGGCACCGATGGAGCAGGGACTGGCACCAGAGGGGGCACTAGGCTGGGTGCCAGGGGACAAATGGACAGGCAGGACTATCCAGGCAGGAGGACTGGGAGACACGGCCCAGCCAGCCAGAGCCAGGGAGCGACAACGGCTTGCCCAGAAGTGGATGCTCAGAGCTGGGGATGTGGACCAGGAGACTGGCTTGGATGTGCATCTGAACCCGAGTCACACGCCCCACAGACAGGCTGTGTGTGCACATCCTGTGTGTTTGTGGAGACTGAGACTCGGTGCCTGGCTGTTTGGGGCCGCAGAGTGTGTCCCTGGGTCACACTCGAGTGTTTCTGAAAGAAGGAGTCACACTGGGCGAGCATATATGCGTGTGCAAGCTGGTGTGCGCACGTGTGTGTGCGCAGCTGAAGCTGTCGGAGTGAGTCTCGGCTGGGCGTGCCGTGTCTCTGTGGGACGTCCAGCGTGTCTGCGTTTGAGCACTGCGTTTGGGGGGCTGTCCCCAGCTCCCCGAATGTGTGCCTGCTGCAGCGGCCTGAAGACCCTCCGCCTGATCCGTACAGGTCTGTTGCATGGTGTGCGGCGTGGCCAGCGGATGTCTCGGCTCTGTGAGGGTGGGGGGCCCCCGGGCCTCTGTGTTGGGGGCTGTGTCTGCGCTGGGGCGCGTGTGTGGGGCTCCCTGCCTCTCTGTGTCCCTGAGTGTGACTGGGTACTGGGGGCTACCTGTCACAATGTGCATCTTTGTGTCCCCTCTCTAGTTGTCTCGGCAGGCACGGCGCCTCTGAGGACAGGAGGTGTTTCTGGGTGGGGTCGTGTGTCTGCGTTGTGTAGCCAGTTGTGTTGTCATCTTCGGGTCTTGTGGGTGTGTCTGTGGTGGGCTGCGCTCTAGGTGCCGAACGGGCCGGAGCTCACACGCTGATGGAGGCCTGCGGTCTGAGGTGAGAGAGACCGAAATAGAGCCGAGAGAAAGCTGTCCCTGTGGTGGGAGAACCGCCGAGCCTTCCCCAGCCTCAGGCTGGCGGCATCGGTGCTCACACTCGCACACCAGGCAGCCCGGGCTGGACCTTGCTCGTCCTTGCCTCCCTCCCCTGAAATCGTCCTAAGCCAGAGAGGGCCAGGAACTGCTGTGGGGGGGGTTGCAGAGCAAGTGGGTACAGGCTGCACCCCCCCCCGACCCCCCGTGCAGCCTCACCTCCTTTGCTGAACTTCCCTTTCTTGCATGGCTCTCAGCTCTCTGTAGGCCAGCTCTGCCTTCCCGTTCAATGCCAGGGCCTGGGGTCTCGGGACCAGGAAGGGGCCAGGGGGTGCAGCCGAGTGAGCACAGAGGCGGGACCCAGGGCCTGGGGCCTTCTGGGTGGTGAGGTTTGGGGGTGGGGGAGCACATCCCCCCAACGTCCGGGCGCATTCGGACCACGGAGTGCAGGGTGCCATCTGGGTGTGACATGTGTGATGCTGAGCGAGCTGTGGGTGCTCGGCGTGTGGGTAGGTCGGGAGGCTGTTCTGTCTCGGTGTCACCCTGTGTGTGTCTGTCAGCCAGGCTGACCTGTGCGTCCTGATGCTGACTCACGGTCTCCACCACACTAACTTATTTGGGGCTCTGGGGTCCTGCGTGTTTCTTGTCGTGAGCCCCACGTGTGAGCGGCCTGAGGAGCTGTGTGACTGCGTGTGCGATGGGTGTGCGACGTGGGGCGTCTGGCATGTCTGTGTCCTCGGCACGTTGTGCCAGGTTGTGCCCCAGCGGCCGTGTGCCAGTCTGGGGCACGTGTGTCCCAGGGTGTAGCTGGTGTCCTTGGAGGGCGAGCGAGTGGGCATGTGTGTGGCATGCCGTGTGCTGTGTGTGTCTGCAGACGTGCCACCGTCAGACCCACAGTGTGGATGCAGGGAGGGGCACAGGGGCGTGAAAGGCATGCGTACATGACGCGTGTGGAGACGTGTGCACACAGGCCCGACCTGGATGTGCTGGGGTGGGGCTGGGGGCATGGAGCTCTGGGGGGAGATGGAGCAGAGAGATGGGCCAGGGAAGAGGGGGGCGGCAAGAATCTGGGCTGCTCAGAACGCAGAAGAGACCAGAGACCTCTGGGGCAAGAGGGTGGGTGTGCGGGAGAGAAGGGCTAATCTGTGTGTCAATGGGGGGGTGCCCTTCCCTGCAAGCCGGCCCTTCCCAGCTTCTCCCCAGTCAAGCTGGTGCCTCCTACCCTCCACCCCAGGACACTGAACTTGGGAGAGTTGTGCCAAGATAGGGTTCTCTTCCAGTGTGGGCACAGTCTGGGGACTAGACAGCAAGCAGGGTATAGAGACTGGGAATCGGGTCCCTCAAGATGCTGAGGCCGGGCAGCTGCTCATCAGAGGCCAGGAGGAGCCAGGGAGGGTTGGCTGCCTCCCAGGTTCCAAGCAGGGGCCACTCCCCTCCCTCCCGTCCCCAGGGTTTGCCTTCCCGGATTGGGCCTACAAGCCGGAGTCGTCCCCTGGCTCGAGGCAGATTCAGCTGTGGCACTTCATCCTGGAGCTGCTGCAGAAGGAGGAGTACCAGGGCGTCATCGCCTGGCAGGGGGACTACGGGGAGTTCGTCATCAAGGACCCTGACGAGGTGGCCCGGCTCTGGGGCATCCGCAAGTGCAAGCCCCACATGAACTACGACAAGCTGAGCAGGGCCCTGCGGTGAGCAGGGCCAGGGCCTCCTCCCATCTCCCCTTGTGTCCCCTGGGCCCCCGCCCCTGGGAGCTTTTCTTGAACGCCCAGGGCAGAATCCCATTAGATCACGCCCAGGGGTCTCTGCGGTCTAAGTTCTTCCGTGAGTGGAAGGCGGGCGGGGAGAAAGGGCCCACGTTCTGGGTGTGGGAGCGACACAGGCCGGACCCCAGCCCCTGCCACACCTCTCCCTTGCCCTGGGACCTTGGTCGAGGACTTCTGTGAGCCTGTCTCCCCAGTTGTGCGCTGTGACTGGCACCCAGCGTGGGCCCAGGGACCCCCCTCCACCTCCCTTCTCCCTCTCCCCGCAGCTACTACTACAACAAGCGGATCCTCCACAAGACCAAAGGGAAGAGGTTCACCTACAAGTTCAACTTCAGCAAAGTCGTGCTTGTCAATTACCCACTGTTGGACGTGGCGGCAGCCACCACGGGCTCCCCGCTGTTGCTGACCCCTGGCCCCTTTGCGGGTGCCCCCGGGCCAGACGCTCCTCCCCTCACCCCCGAGGTGAGTCAGGAGGCTGAGGTCCCAGAGGGGGCATTGAGGTCCTGGGGAGGGGGCGGCCACTCTGAGCAGCACTGCCCCCCTCGCCTCCCTCTCCAGACCCTGCAGACCCTGTTCTCTGCCCCACGCCTGGGAGAGCCAGGGGCCCGGGCACCCCTGTTCACCCCTGAGACGGACAAACTGCGTCTGGACAGCCCTTTCCCATTCCTGGGCTCAGGTGGTAAGGGCCCCGGGTTCCAGGGGAGCTGGAGGGGGTGCTGCCCATGTTTGAGGGCAGGGGAGGGGCAAAGACGGGAGGAGACAGTGTGTAAGGAGGAGGCCAGGCAGGCCGCTGTGTGTGTGTTTAAAAGCTGGAGAAGCATCCACAGGGAGGCAGGGAGGGAAGCTGGACGGGGGTGGGGGGTGGGATGGGCTGGGAGAAGGGCTTTCAGGGGCACTAAAGGACTGGGGACAGTGGCGGAATCTCACGGGGGAGGGGCAGCAGGCGGGGGAGGGACACTGGGGAGACCCACGCAGGCAGGGTGCAGTGGGGTGGTGGCACCGTCCACTCAGGCCCAGGCAGCTGTGATGGTGGAGCAGTGGCCCGGGCTGATGCACGGCACCCTCTGCCCCCCCAGGTGCCACCGGCTATTCCAAGCCCCCTGGTCTGCTGGGTCCTTACAGCCGCGCCTTCCCAGAGTACCCCTGGAACTTTAATCCGTACCTCGCCGGCCCCTTCCCCAAGCTGCCGCCCTCTCTCTACCCCCCGCATTTCTACCCCAACCCTCTGGCCGGCTCCCTGGGCCACCTGCCCTCCACGGGTGCAGGGGGAGGGCCCACAGCCGCGCCCCTACTGGCTGCCACGGGAGAGGGCCTGGGCCCTGAGCGCCCCTCGGGCCTGGCAGCGGCCCCCCGCCTGGCACTACCGGGGGCTGGGGGTCCAGAGGCTGCGCTAGGAGGGAAGGAGGACAGCGACTCGGAGCTGGAGATCACGGATGTCAGCGGCTGCAGCTCTGACAGTGAGGGCGAAGAGGGCCTCCCTCTGCCCCCCAAGGCCAAGGCCGGCAAAGGCGGGCTCAGCAGCTGAGCCTGTGTGGGGTGACAGATTCTGCAGGGGTGGGGACCAGGGCCGCACTGCCCGTGCAGCCACTGCTGCTGCCTCGTCCGCCCTTGACGTCCCACCAGAGGCCAGGGACCATCCCGTGGCCCCATCCAGGGCCAGACACATGGCTGCCCCAGTCTTCTTCCCCGACCCCAGACTGGGGGTCTCACTTCCTCCTAACAGGGGAGATGGAACATGATGGCCTCCGGCCTCCTCCCCAGGCTCCAGTTTGAGGGGGTCCCCGCCTGGCCCCACTCCCAAAGTGCAATATGGCGCCCAGCCTCCCCTGCCCTCACCCCCACCCCCGTGCTGTGACCTGTGTTTGTGCGGCCGTGTGTCCCCTGTGCTGGCCCCAGTCCTCACGCCCTCTACACAGGCCCCCTGGGGACAGGGCGCTCAGAGCAATAATCCCGCCCCCAGCCCCCGCCCAGGAGGGCTCCCCTCCCCACGACCCCCAACAGCCACCTCCAGAGTTTACTACAAAAATAAAAGAACGGAAAGGACTGTGGGTGACCATGGGAGCTTGGGGGTGGGCGCTGGGAGGGGGTGTGCGGGTGCCTGGGAAAGAGCCGTCAAAACGCGGAAGGAAGAACAAGTGGAGAAAGGCGGAGGCACAGAGGCCGTGTGGCCGGCCGGCCCGGCGGCTGCAGCACCCTACCTTCACGACACAGGCCTCTCCTTAGATAATATATATTAAAAAATAAACCTCCAATTCAGGGTATAAAAACAGAGCAAAGGCACTTGGGGGCGGGAGGTGGTGGGGCGGTCCCCCAGGCAATACTGTGACAGCCCAGGAATGGGGGTTGCGGTGGTGCCCCGGAAGTCCTGCGCCCCCCAAGCAGAAGGCCGGCGGGAGGCCGGGTGGAGGCAGTGGTCCCGGTGGCCCCCAGACGTGGCCCCGAAGCCTGGCTCCCTCTCCTCAGGCCCTCGGGGTGGCAGGTGCGGTGGCAGCTGTGCAGTGGCGGGTGGGTGTTCCTCAAATCCTCCCCATCTTGCAGAGGCCTGGGGAGATGCAGCGGAAGAAGGGAGCCCGGGAGGGAAAGACGGGGAAAGTGGAGGGTGGGGAGAAAGACATTAAAAGAAATGCCCAGAGCAACAAACGGACGGAGTGAAGGGAGGTGGACTGGGGAGACTCAGGGAGGTGAGGACAGATGGGCTGTGACTCTGGTCCCCCCTCTCTGGGCAGCACTCCAGCCCCCCAGCTCCCCACCTACCTGCCTGGGGCAGGGAGCCTCAGGTGCAGCCTGGCTGTGGGACAGTGTTCTCCCCAAGCTGAGACAGGACGAGTCGCAGGCGACAAAACTTCTCCTCCACCTCCTGGTTGGGGGGGTCACCCGTGAGAAGGGTCCTCCGCCTGCCCCGTCCGTCAGCCCTGTCCTCCTCCCCGCCCGCCCCCCGTCCCGGCCCCCACCTCCAGCTGTTTAATGGTCTCCTCCAGGCTGAGTAGCTCCTCTCGGATCTCCTGGGTCTGTGTGGGGATCTGGGGGCCACCCCCTGGGACTCCATCCCCTTCAGGGGGAGGCCCTGCCCCGCTGTCTTCCTCTGAGGGGAGCAGGAGCTGCTTCAGGGATAACACTGGCCAGAGACGAGGGGACAGAGTCAGAGGTGGGGCTGCGGCTGGGATGTGGGATTCAGACGGGGACAGGTGAGGGCCCTGTGTGTTGAAGCGAGGGTGGGCCGGGTGTGAAAGGAAGTGCAGAGTGGGGCTGGGTCCAGGGAGAGCGAACTGAAGGTCAAGGAAGGGGCCGCCGCAGCAGCAGAGGCCTAGGGCCGTGGGTGCGGTTAGCTGGGGCCTGCCGGGCCGCTGGGCGCGAGCCAAGGCGGGAAGCACCAGTGTGGGCTGCTGTGGCCCCGTCAGGGGCAGGGTGGCTACCTTTCTGAAGGGCTTTGGCAGCGAGCTGGCCCTCAGGGCCGGGTCTGCACAAGGGCAGGAGGGTGCTGAGGGTTCTCTCGATCTGGCCTGGGTGGGGAGCAGGACGGGTGGTCAGATCCTGCCCAGCCCCCGGTGGACACCGGCCCCCATTCGAGGTCCACCCAGGCTCACCGTCCGCTGGGGACATCTCTCGGCTGCCACCGTTGCCATTCTCAGAGCTGCTGAGCAGGGGTTCGCGGGTGCTGGGGGGCGGAAGTGCAGGGTGATGGCCACACCCCGGACCCCGGGGGTGGGGTGGGGAGCAGGGGCAGGGAGACACGAGCTGGAGGCGGGGAGGTGGGGATGTGTGGAGACAGGGAAAGAGGTCCAGGCTGGGAGACAGGGACTCAGAGAAGCCTGGCCAGTAGAAGACAGGCCTGAGTAGGGAGAGGTGGGCCGTGGTGGGGCGGCCCACACAGACACCCATGCAGACACGAACGCAGAGACAGGGAGGGGCACGTAAGGAAGCCGGGCCCTGACCCCCGTACCTGCTGGGGCTGGGCCGGGGTTTGGGGCGGGAGGCCGGGGCAGGGACCTTCAGGGATCCAGCGGTCTCAGTGATGAGGTTGCACCAGCTGCGGAGACAGGCGAGCCCCTGGGCACTCAGAGCCCCAGACATTCCGCCAGGGCCTTCCCCCACCCCTCGGCCTGGCCCTGGTCCCCCACCTGTTCACAGAACCCAGACCCCCTTACTTCTTCCGCTCTGACACGGTCTGTGCCACCAGCTCGTATATCTGGGCCTCCTGGTCCCATGTAAAAATGACGTAGAAGGCTTTGTGATCTGCAAGGGAAAGGAGAGGCAGAGCTCAGAGCCAGGGTGGTCCCCCTGCCCACCCCCCCAATGATGGCAGAGCCCTCAGGGCTCCCCTGACTTAATCCCCTCTCCTGTGTCTTTAATATCCACCCCCCAGGGGCCTTCCTCACGCCTCCAACCAGCCAATGCATCTCCACCACCATGGCCCTGGGGCAGCTCCTTGGCAACTTGTTTGCAAATTCCTTCTTTCTGGGCTCCCAGCTCCTGCCTGTGCCCCTAAATCCCTAAGCCGCAGCCAGAGCTGGCTGCTCCTTTGTGCAGAAACCTGGGGTGGTTTCCCATCTACTGAATAAAGCCCACAACCCAGCCTAGGCCCTGGCCCCACCCAGCTCTCAGGCCTCCCTCCCACAGCCTCAGCCTCAGGCCGCCAAGCCTCCCAGGTCCCAGCCTCTGCTGCGGCCTCCCCTTCCCCAGAGTGTGAGTCCCCGGCTCTCTGCAGGGTTCCCTACCCACTCCCTAGGCAGCCAGACCTTGGGTCATGGGGCCAGGCCTCACCGGTGGCCACCTCCCGGGTCATGGCAGAGGTGAGCCGCAGCACCGGCCGCAGCATGGTTTTGCCGTCGGGCGTGGGCGTCAGCGTCCGGCTGTGCGACTTGAGCAGCAGCCGGTCGTCCTGGCGCTGGAGCAGCAGTAACAGGTCGTCCAGCAGCAGCACGTGGACCTCTGCAGGGGCGAGGGGCGAGGCCGTGCTCAGCAGCCCCCACCCGGGCTCCCACCCCCAACCCCCAAGGCCCCTGCTCGATGCCCTGGGGCTCACCTACGGCCTTGTCCTTCGTCACCCGCCACGTCAGCGGGCCCTCGTGGACCAGTTTCCTCTTGGTGATGTCCAGGTTCTGCAGGCGGGAGGGAGTGATGGTCGGCACAGGCCAGGCCAGGGCGAAGGTGGCCATGGGGCTGGGTAGCGCAATCGGGGGTCAGGATGGGCGCTGGGTGACAATGGGAAGGGATCCGAGCTGAGGGGCCTCTCTGGCTTCCTGGGTGCGTTATCAGAGAATCCCCAGGGACAGGGGCCAGCAGGGTCACCTTGAACTCGCTCAGCATGGGGTCACTGCTCTGCTTCAGGTGGGACAAGTCCAGGCGTCTCTGATAATCCTTAAGCCGCTGAAGCAGGGAACAGAGTGTCTCAGGTACATGCCAAGAGCTGGGGCCATCCCACAGGGACCCTCAGGGGTTAAACTCTGGGCAAGGCCTGACCTCCAGTGACCCCGAGAGGGAGGAGCTAAGGGTCCAGGGAACCCCTGGACAAGCAGTGACTCCTCCGGGTCAAGCTGAAGAGCAGGCCTAACCTCAGAGCAGAAGTGGCCTCAGACGGCACAGCCAGGCTCACCAGCAGGTCCTCCATGTCCCGCACAGCCTGGTTGACGTGGTGCAGAATCTCCCGGCAGCACTCGGCCGCCTGCTCCACTTTCTCCCGCTCCGCGGTCTCTTCTGTGGACGAGGGAGGGACCCGGTAAGCCCCAAGCCCGGCCGCTGCCGGTGCCCAGCTGGGATGGGGATCTGGGGCGCAGCGGCGTGGCCGGGCTGTACCTGTGTTCTGCCCGATGCTCTGCAGGAGCAGCGGGTACTTAGTCAGTCGCTGCATCTCCGTGGGGATCATGTCCTTCAGCTGCAGGCGGCGGCACCGCGGGCGGCTCTCAGCCTCCTGGGGGGACAGCAGTGCTGAGGTGGCCCACACTTGGAGCTCACCTCTGGGACAGGGACACCAGCCCCTCCTCCCCGGGACCCTGGCCCAGGCCCTGCGCTGCCCAGCTGACCTGCACGAAGGCACAGAATCGAGGCTCCCTGCGCTGCTTGGCTTTGAGCTGCTCTAAGGCAAATGACTGGCGGCTGCAGAAGCGGGAGGAGATTTTCTGGAACCAGTTGCCCTCAGCACCATCAAACTACAGTGAGATTCAGGCCAGGGGGTGTCTCAGATGGGACATGGAAGCCCAGACAAGAGGACAGGGCTGGGGGCCCAGATCCCTGGCTTCCAGGTCCCTGGCTGGGAGGAGGGAGGAGGGGCCGGGCTGTGCGCCCTCACCCGGGCCAGCAGCACGTCTCCGATCTCCTCAATGACGTAGCCGCTCTCCTGCCTCCGCTTCATCAGGCGATCGAGAAACAGAGCTGTGGGGAGAGGTGAGAGTGGGAGGGGCTGTCAGCACGGCAGGAGGGAGGAGGAGCCGGCAGGGTGGGAGGGGCCGTCAGCACCGCAGGAGGGAGGGGGAGCCGGCAGGGGCGGGGCTACAGGTGTGTCTGCCTGACACTTGGGGGTCCAGGGTGGGGTACCCAGGAGAACACAGCAAGCCCCAGGTCTAGTTGCCAAGAGGCCGTCGGGCCCGTGGGGCTGTGGCCCCGCACTCACAGTGCACCTCGATGAGCTCGTCCAGGCTGGGGAAGATGTTCTGCAGCTCCTCCGGGGGGAAGAAGCCCCCGTCGGCCATGGGCTGGTAGAAGAGGTCGTGCAGCACCCGCAGCATGCGCACGTGGGCCGCCTCCGTCACCAGCAGCTCTGCGGGGGCCGGGAAAGGAGCGTGGTTGGGGTGCCTCCTTCGGGCCTCAGCCTCAGAGGCGGACTCGGCGGGTGAGGAAGGGGCAGGACAGGGGTAACTCTCTCTGGGCTGAAGACAGCCACTGGGGATTCGTGGACCCACTGTCTCTGCCGTTCGGCAGTGGCAGCCAGCCAGGGCGACCAGCGTGTCCCAGTCTTCCCGGCACCAACAGGCTTCCCAGCGCCAACCCGGGGAACGTCCTGGGCAAACCAGGGCGACTCGGCTGCCCCACGGCCAGCAGGCCTGCAGGTGTGCTCAGTGTGTGACTGCCCCGCAAGTGAATCAGCCTTGGGTCCTGGGACGACCGCTCTGCGCACCGCGCAGCCTCAGGTCCCGGGGCCCCAGCAGTCCCCGGAGACCAAGCACATGGTTTTGTGTGTGTTAGGTGTGTTTTTCTGCAGTCCGAGGCAGTAGCCGCCAGTCACGTACAGCCCTTCAAAATCCATCATTCCA